TACATGTAATTAAAGACAACTAGGAAATGCTTAAACAATCTAAATCATACAACCCGACGACAAGGTAAAGATTTTGTCAACATTTTATATAAACTAGCGGCATTTTTTGTTTAAATGCACACATGACCCAATCAATAATGAAGGTCAAGACGTGTGTCTACTTTTCAGGATTAACACTGTTCTCCCTTGTCTGGACACAGACCAAGGCCGTGGAGGACATATCCTCGTAGGTCTCCTTCCATCTGCCTCTTTGAATGCGCCTCTATGCTCACCTACACTGCTTTGCATTTATAAATCCACTATTTTTTTTCCCGAAAGAAATAAAGAAAAGTAAAATTTTGTAAACGTGACTTAGGCCGTGGCATCTAGGGAATAAAAGAGGAGCTATTTTTTTTTCCTCGCCTTTTTTACGTTTGCATAAGTTGAGATAAATTGAACTGAAGGGACCCTTCATCAACCAATGACGCAGTTGAATGGGTTGGATGGACATTTGCTGCCTTTAAGAGGCGATTTTACGGCAATGCAAGAACAGTTATCGTTGATGTAGTGAACAGTTACGCCTACATTGTTGAAAGTGGGTATAGTGGTAGAAGGTACGAGGTGAAGTGGATGTCACATGTAGTGCATCACGCCACCACCACAACAATCCGTGAGTCTTCCATTCCTCGGTGTCAGTGTTGAGGAGACTAATCGCTGAGTGACTTAGGGTGGGAAGTGATACAGTCATCGCAGGCTGTATTGGTTATTCCCCGAGGAGGCAGTCGTTACTGCTCACACTTCTCGGGCATGCATCATTTCCTTTCCACTAGACTGTCTATATTTTATGGGTGTGTGTGTGTGTGTGTTTGTGTGTGTATGCGGACCTTAGACGCAGCCGTTAACCCATCTAGGGCTAAGAAGTACTTAAGGTTTGTGGGTTGAGCACCACAGGATCCAACAGTATCCCATACCATCAATTCATACTGAGAAGGGAAACAAAAGAAGGAAAGGTGTATGATAGCTAAGCTTGTCTCACATTCTTCTCGCAGACTGCCTCACCGCTACTTCCGCAAGAGTGACTTTTCTTTTCCACTCCCTACAATTACATAAATGGGGATGAAATTCCATTCAACACAGTACTTCCTCGTTCTTATGGCTTTTTTTTTACAAAAATACTTTCGACTGTCACGTGGAGTGGTGTAAGACTTTTTGACTCCCTCCTTTATCCGACCATTAACAGACCCGGTTGGTGAAGGCGGCATTGATAGCACTAGTCCTTGCAGGGCTACTCCTCATCACGACAGCAGCACATGTGCTCCAAGGGTGGCACAAACGCCACTTAGCACTCTGAGGTGCAAGCATCTCATCTACTGACGAAAGACAATCATGCATTGATATTTTGCCTTGTGTAGTCACACCCTCTTTGAGGTTAAAGGGCGTCATGTTAGGAGGCCTCTTTTGAACCTTCATAGGGAAAAAAAGAAATGGATGGTGATAGCATGAGCCATGAGAGGCACAGTTCAAATAAACATGAGATGACTGGTGACTGGAAAGTTCGGGTGTGAGGGGTGACAGAGGTGGGAGCGCTCAGCGCATACAATCACCTTTGATGCACAGACCATTGTCAGTAAGTGAAGATTTAAAAAACTCAAGTCTAAATCAGAAAGTTCACTTCTAGGTATTTGGGATGCAGTGAGTTGGAGTATAGATGTGATTCTACACATGAATGTGGCCACGTCGGTGACAACGCCTACTGCATGACCACCTGTACAATGTGCGCATGGTGTCTCACGGAGATGTGGAAGTTGAGACGAATGTGTCGACCTCGGAGTGTCTTCTGCTGCGTCTTTGGCACATGTCATTCCATTGGCTACTGTTCCGACCTCAACATCAAGATTTACAACCAGTCTGAGCTGTAGTCTTGAAGGACAAGTGTAATATGCAAACGCTACACCGCCTCCTCGCATTCTTCTCCTTCGAGTTGGACTTGTATTTGACAGAGCGATTCTCTTTTGCATTCTTTCGTCAATAGGACAAGATGATCTTAAATAAGTGCACTGTTTGGGTTCAAGAGTAAGGACTGTGTGGTATGGATGTGGCAACTGGATGGGAAGGCGGATTTATTCGAGCCACGTAGATAAAAATGCGTCAAAAGATAGACCAGTGGGCAAACGAGAAAGGCGTATCAGGTGACTGAATATAACTGTTGGCTCGATACAATAGGGTCGTGTTGTTTGTGTGAACTTTTAAAGTGCATACGATTGTATCCAGGCCTACAGAGTAGCGCTTTGATCTACTCTTTATCAGTTTGCCGTTAGATGGCGCATCTCCAGCACACCAACTTGCAGTAAAACGGATCTAGAGCCAATTGCATGGTGTGTGTGTGATGACAAAATACATCATTCAGGAGCAGAAATGTTTAAAAAGTAGCTAAAAAACTTGAAAATTTGGATGAACAGAACAGAGTTTGGGCCAGGAAAGGGAATAGCAAGTAGAGCACAAACAACAACAAAACAACAAAATGGTGGTTGAGGTTGATTAAAGTAGCAATAGTTTCGAGCTAAATTACCCGCGGTAACAACAACACAAATGCCAAGTGAATTGACGACACGCATGTCCATCGATAGCAGACAAGTGACGGTTTGTTTGTGCTCGACGATCCACACCCAATGAAGGCATGCAGCGTTTGACCTCCTCGAGGTACGATGTGCTGTGAAGCAATAAGGTGGGAGGGGATAGTGGCTTGCAAAATGTTGTATCCACTTCCAGCTTCCAGTTCCAAGGGTCCTCTTTTCACACTGATAAGCGCAAATTTAAGACCTGCAAAAAAAACGTCGCTTAAGAACCAACCTTAATCGCCTGGATAGCAACGAAAGAGGGATTTCTGCGATTGCCCCCTCCACCCTCTTCACCTGCTTTTGTCATCATTCAGTGAAATAGAGGAGGTATGCACTCCCATGACAGGAAATTTGCTCTGGTAAAAAGGCAAAATTCCTCCCATTAGTCCATTAGTCTTCTGGACCCTGGGAGGTTGAAATATGCTGTCGGTGTTGTGCGACAGCCTCCTGTCAGATGACACTGACAGCTTGAAGCGAGGGCCCATCTACTGTGGACAAACTTTTTCCTTTTACAAAAGTTTTATAAAAGCTACGTCTTTGAGTTTGCTTGAGTTGTTGAAGTCGCTCTAAATACACGATTTTTCGGAATTTTATTTGGCGAATCTGAGTTAATTTAATAAAATTGCAATTCGTACTCATAATGCTACTGATAAAGTATTTCAGTAGGCCCCTCAGTCTCTTCCCACAATCAACAGAATGCAAAGAGGTACCTTCCTTCGTTGCTTTGTCAAAGCTAAAACAAAATAGGATTGTCAAATAAATTGTTTATGCATCTCATAGAAATAAAGCAAACAGAATTGGAGAAAATGTTTCTTGAATCCGTTGATGGACAGTTAAGGGGTCATCCATTAAACAAAAACAAAAAAAAAAAA